CCATTTGAGGTGGAAAGTATACCTACCAATTCATGCACAGTGAAGGGTTCCTAGCAGTGCACCTGTGTTCATTGCACCAAGCAGTTACTCAGCTGTCCCTTTCAAAGCTCTGGACTTTGGCTTGGGATGGGTTGCATGAACAGCCTGGCCATGCAGCCAAGGATCTGCTTGGCTCCTTGGAAAAAGAGGGCTTGGGGCAAAAGGAAGTTGCTTTACCTGTGTGAGGTACCGATCTGTGGTGTCTGGCTCTGATGCAGGCAGGGAGCCTGAATTGCTGCACTCATAAATCGCTGTTCTTAAAAGCTAGTCTTTGAGTAACACAAATATTACAATTAGTTCTCAGCTGGGTTGTAGCAAAGTGCATATGTGAACTGCTCCATAAAATGCAGTGGTGTCTCCAAGCCCCAAATTTCTTCTTTCAAGCTAACGTCAGCTATGGCTATCCTGGTAACCATGTGCAAGTTGTTTTTTCCCAGCTTTTCCTAGATGCCAAATTCTGGGCATGTCTATGGTATTTCCTCAGACTTTGGGCTGGTGCTTTGTCTTTCTTGTGTTACCACTTGTCTCAGGACTGCTTCCTCTCATCTATTGCTAATGCCCACCTCCCTATTAATTGTTATCGTAACAGGAGAGGTGTATGATGATTCCATTCTTTTTCTTTAAGTGCTTCTCACATCCAAAAATATGGCTGGTCCCATTTTGGCTATTGGGGCCACTACTATGTCTGTATATCTTTTTCTCTTGGCAACCACAATGAAAATCTTAAAAACCAAATGAATTTCTCAACAACAACTTCATTATTAACAGGTTGGTGCCCTTGTCAGGCACTGGTGACCCAAGAGGAACAAAAGAACAAAGGCATGGGTAGCATTTATGGTCTCTTCCCGTAGCATGGCTGGAAGAGCACTTGCATAGTTTGAGGGGCATGTGTGTTCAGTCTCCTGCATGTGGGAAGATTTCAGCCCACATCACTGGAGAGTGTGCCAGTCCCTGTGGGGATGAGGTAGCATCTTGGACTCTTACTGACAGTCTTCTGCTCAGTATAGGGATCTGGGCATTCGATACAGCCTGAAGTGCAAGCTGCACTTACGGTGCTGCGGGAAGGAGCCTTAGTGACTAATGCGGAGGGTAATTCTTCTCAAGATGAGACTGTTGCAGCAAGGAGGATTTGGGGTAGGATTTGAAGTTAGACCTCTGGTGTCAGGGTAACATTAGTGTTGAGCTATAAAGCAATCGCATAGATCTTTGCCAAACTCTTCTACATCACCAAGGTAGAAGGCAGGTGGTAGGCCACTTATTTAGAGATACCTGGGTCTTCCATTGTCTGCTTGCTTCTGGCTTTAAAAAAAACAGCCACCAAAAAACCCCCAAGAGCTCCTACCCAAGGCTTCCACCCCATTTCCCCTGTCTCCTTCCTCCCCCCCCCCCCCCCCCCCCAAAAAAAAAAAAGTGTTTATTACATCAGTGGAGGATTTCAAGAACCTCTGTTGCTTGACTCAACCTTGCAGCATGATGGCAGGAGGACATCTGACATTTTGGCCAAATACAGTAAGACAGAGGCATGTGTTGGATATATGACTCTTCTGTACCCTTGGTGAGCTCTCAATCTAGTAAGCTAAAAAACCCCAACCTACTCCTAGCAGTGTTTTGGAAATTTAGACACAATTCTTTTCTAAACTTTGTTGAATTTGAACTGACTGTATGATTGGTTTTACTAATTTCAGAAGCAGGTTTGCCATATGCTAACTGATTTCATCAGCTCCAAAAGCAATGCAACTTTGAGCAGATGCGTTCCCTCAACACTATTGTTCTTTTTATCTCTATTGCTGTTGTGACCTTGAAGTTCCAGGAAGGCACAGGGTGCATGGTGATGATAGACCCTGCTGACTGCTAGAGACTCTAGTGAGGAAGAGGACATAAGGGAGAAGGGATCTGGTTTGGGCTTGTAACCAATTGTTACAATATATTTTTAGACTATTTTGTACTAAGGAAGTAAACACTTAATGCCGTGTAAAGGTTAGAGATAGACCCACCCACTCTTGGAAGTATGTACAGCTTGTCCTGAGTGACATCAGTGATGGATTTGTCTTGTGCGTATATGCAATTCAATGATTTATTACAATATAATTTTATGCCAAAGATTATTCAAAAATATCTTAGGTTGTTTGAGGAAACTATTGTTTTATACTGAGCTTTTTCTCTTTACTGAATTTGTTTAGACCCCCAGTAAATCCATTTAAAGAAATATTTGCAATATGGGGTACAGATCTAGTATATAATCTTTTCAGCTATTTGCCTTGATTGCTTTTCTTTGCCTTTGGAAAGATATCAAGTATCCTATGTCAAACTGTTTTTGCTTATATTAAATGCATATTTTAGCTACCACAACAGTATTATGAGTGTTATCACTTTTTGAAGTGATTTGTAAAAGCTTCTTTCTTCCTATTAGTTATATTTCTAAGACTTACTCAATGATAAAAAAAAAAATCAATAAAAATGGAAGCTAATTTTGTGACTTTTGCCACTTTAAATTAGGTATCACCCTGAATATAGAATGCCATCTGTGAGTGTCATATCTGTGCAAATACTAAAATGAGATCTCATCAGTAAAGTAGACTTTCTGTGAAGCAGTTATGACTGATGATACTGAATCGTATACAATTCTTACATATTTATAAAATTTACTTGCACCTCTTTTTAATAATTAAGCATATGGCTCAATAGCAATTATTTTTAACAAACTGATAAAGTACAGAGCTATTAGGCCACAGCACTGGTTTGAATCCTTGGAATAGAGTCCAAGTCTTAAAGGTCACCATTAACCAATATTTTTCAGAAGAAATTTGTCAACTCTGGAATGCTTCAGTTTGCATTATTCATGTGTCCATTTTTCTTAGAGGTTGGTGAATGTGAACTTTTATGTTACCTGGTTTGCACCCTGAGCAGTGCAGTAGCAAAAGAAAAAGGAAAAAAGTACTGTAATCCTGAGTAATATAATGATAAAAATACAGAGTAGGAGTAGAAATGATCTTGTCTGAAATGGTCAGGTACAGATCCAATTTTATGGCTGTATTACCCCCTCTGTGTTTGTAACCCATCATGATACACACAGGGTGAGAATAGTTCTCCTGGTCAATCTGTGCATGATGCATGTCATTAACACTGGGACACCATGTCTGGATCTTAAACCTGTATTTTAAGGCCAATACAGGAATGCTGAATAATATTTCCAGGATAACCACCAAAACTGTACAAGGATGGGAAAACAAAGCTTACAGCAATGCTTAATGATGTTTTTACCTTTTTTTTTTTTTTTTTTTTTTTCTTTTTTTAATCAAGAAAAAGATTGAATGATGATCACTGGACATGTATGGGTGCATAGGTCTTGCTTTGAGGTCTTCAGTATTATAGACAATAATCACAGGACCATAGAATGGTTTGGATTGGAAGGGACCTTAAAGACCATCTAGTTCCAAACCCCCCACCACGGGCAGGGACACCTTCCCCCAGCCCAGGTTGCTCCAAGCCCCGTCCAGCCTGGCCTTGGACACTGCCAGGGAGGGGGCAGCCACAGCTGCTCTGGGCACCCTGGGCCAGTGAGGAATGCCACTCGTCACTGCTCTCCACTGGGACATTGAGCTGTTGACCACAACTTTTAAGTGTGACCATCCAACCAGTTCCTTGTCCACCGAGTAGTCCATCTGTCAAATCCATGTCTCTCCAATTTAGAGACAAGGATGTTGTGCAGGACGGTGTCAGATGCTTTTAAAATGAATACTGTAGTTGGAAATCAAGCTTTTAACATACTGTCTCAAGCATTCTGAAGCAAAGAGTAGTTCAATCATTTCACAAATGCATCTTTAAAAGATACTTTAATACAGTTTCTGCCTTTTCTCTGCAATGGTCTTTCCCGAGCAATTGTATTAGTTCCCTCTGGTGTTAAAGCTCTGAAAACCCATTATGGCTAAAGCATTTGTTAAGCAGTCTCTATAGATATGATGTTGTAGCAGCTTTAATGAAATATACCTTCTTTGTCACAGGGGCTAGCACAAGATGATAATAGGGATGAAGCTATTTTGGTTAGATCATTCTTGTCTCATGTCTCCTTCATGGCTTTGATTTTATATGAGGAAATACATTTTATATTTTGTATTGGACTATCTTACCTTTCTGTTGAGAAAGATGAATAATCTGTCATGTTCGTGTTGTGACCAAGTTGCCTGATTGGTTTTGTTATGCTTTCTGAGAGCATTGTTAAGGTATATTGAATGAATACCATTTTCTTTTTAGTTTTTCTGTAAATCTTACTCAATTAATTTGGTATTAAAACAGGCTTAGCCTCACCAGATCAAACTGCTGAGCATCTTCATCAAGCATGGAAAATCAACTGCGGCCAATTCTTTTCCTGTGCTATCTGCACTAAAAACGAGCAGCTCTTTCCTGCTGAAGCAGGTGGTAAACTTCCAAGACCTTTCAGCTAGTTGTACAACAGCTTTTAATTGGTTGACAAATTTGAATGGGAGTAGCGTGTAAAATAAAAGGGTTTTAACCTGGTAAAATAAACTGAACAGTATAACACTGCTGTGGAGGGGAAAATCTGTTTACATCTCTATCAATGTTTGACCAATTCTGAGAAAGATGGAGTGATTATCAGTCATGATCTCTTTGAAACTCTTAACAATAAAAAATATATGGAGAGACTATATAGATATCAAGTATATATATAAAGTATATACTTGAATAATTTTCATTCTAATTCATCTTCCTGCTTTTTTAATAGACAGGCAGTTTCTTGGGCTGTTCATCAACCTATAGAAGTCAAGAAAAATGCTTCTTAATTTCAAAGTTAATTCTGTTTTGCTACTATAAGCTATTTTATATTGTGTACTTGCTATAATTTCATGCAGAAAAGGAAACTGAAAGTTGGATTTAAAAAAGTAAAATTAAAATCGCATTTATCTCTTTTTTTGTTTGTTTTTGTTTTCCCCTCTGTCTCTCAGGTGGAAAGACATGACATGAATACCCTGAGTTTACCACTTAACATTCGCCGTGGAGGCTCTGACACTAACCTGAACTTTGATGTACCAGATGGGGTCCTAGAGTTTCACAAAGTCAAACTCAGTGCAGATAGCTTGAAACAGAAGATTCTCAAGGTTACAGAACAAATTAAAGTTGAGCAAACTGCTCGAGATGGAAATGTGGCTGAGTATTTGAAACTGGTAAACAGTGCAGACAAGCAACAGGCTGGGCGCATTAAGCAAGTCTTTGAGAAGAAGAACCAGAAATCTGCCCACTCCATTGCCCAGCTGCAGAAGAAATTGGAACAGTATCACAAAAAGCTCAAGGATATTGAACAAAATGGATCTTCTAGAACTACTAAGGATACTTCTAAAGATAACTTGAAAGATATTCAGCACGGAAAGCCTCGTACCTCTGGGCATGGAACAGAGAGCAGCAAATCGGGTGTGCCGGGTGTATCTTTGACACCACCTGTCTTTGTTTTCAGCAAGTCTAGAGAGTTTGCAAACCTGATCCGAAACAAATTTGGTAGTGCAGACAACATTGCTCATCTCAAAAATACCTTGGATGAATTTCGGCCAGAAACGAGCTCTAGAACATATGGGGGCAGTGCCACCATTGTTGCCAAACCAAAATATGTTAGTGATGATGAATGCTCAAGTGGAACCTCTGGCTCTGCAGATAGTAATGGGAACACTTCCTTTGGGCCTGCTGTGGCAAGTACCCTGGACAGCCAAGGAAAGCTTTCCATGATTTTGGAGGAGCTAAGGGAAATCAAGGAGACACAGTCCCAATTAGCTGATGATATTGAGAATTTAAAAACACAATTTAAAAGAGACTATGGCTTTATTTCTCAGATGTTACAAGAGGAAAGATACAGGTATTTTTTTTTTTAATTTGATCTCTTGAAATGACTTTTGAATGGGTATAGAATCTATAGGAAAGTGTAAATGTGGGTGTGTGCTTGTGTGTGTGATATTTCAGAAGCAAGAGAAAAAAATAATTCCAATCAATACCTGGTACCAAAATGTTCCACTCCTTCCAATAACTGAAAATACATGTAGAGCACTGGTATTTCCTGTCAAATGATGTCGTATTTCTTTGCCTTTTGTCAAAGGCTTGTCAGAAAATTCTCTCATCTGGCATATTATGTGACTACTGCATATAGAAGATGCCAATTATCTTGTAACTGGTGGAAGGATTCTGATCTACTGTGACTTGAAAACGCTAATCAGTCTGTGGTGTAGCAGAGCTGACTTACAGCTGATAAGTATACCCTTTAGTCCTGCGTACCTTGTCCAAATACTTCTCAGACACATTGCTATCTTGTGGGTGCCATGTCTCTTTGTGCCCTGGTGTAATACGTGGCTGTGAAATGTAATTTTAAGTGCTGCAGCACAACTTCCTCTTGCGTTTATTACTTGGCAATTAATCCCTTTCTCATCCACTGTGGGAAGTAAGATATGCTCTACAGAGAGCTTGCACCAGCTGTACCTATTTGTCATATTGCTTGTTAAAGTAAGTTTTGATTCTTGAAGCCTTTACTACTCTAATGGGCAAAAACTCAATATGAAATGCAATATTTAATGTTTCCCTTGTTTACAGTTCTTGAAATACAAGGGAAGGCTGGATATCAGGTGGTGACATGGGGGAGGAAATAACAGAGCAAATGGGCTACTGAACTCAGGACTTGATTTCGGGAGAAGGCAGAGCAGCCTTTTCTGACAGCCCACTGCCATTAAGTTCTCAAGCCTCTTGCCACCATTTCCACAGCTAGACAACTTTGCCTCCATCATTTTTGTGCCAACTGCAGTGTTTTCATATTTGTGTGTTAAATCAAGTTACAAACTCACAAAAGAATTTCTAGTTTCCTGATGGTTTAGTTAAACTGGTTTACCATGCAGAGACATGCCAGAACAGGCTGTACATGAATGGCAGGGCCTTGCAGTTGTATTTGAGAGGGGATCCAGGGAACATATTTTTCCTTTCATTACTGGCAAGCTGTTAACTGGCTCAAGCTTACTTATGAAACCATATCTTCTTGTCTAAATGAAGAGTGAGAAATGGAAAAATGTGAGTTGAATACCCCTAGGCACTGTTTATAGTTCATATAATTTGCCAATGATGTACAAATATTTGCTTTTTAACACCCACTGCCAGCAAGAAACATTCAAAAAAGGCTTTCAGTTTGCTGAATAAATGCTTATGGAGAGTTTCCAAAGTTTTTACTGATTTCTCTATGTGCTCTGTAGTGCCAGTCAGATTAATCCATAGTACACTGAGAAATTACCTTTTAAAATGCTGTTTGTAATTGTTTTCATGATTTTGCATTTCTTGAATAGAAGGCACTAAATTTAGACCTTGTTTCCTAATAAGATATGAAAGATTGGAAGACCAATTAAATGACCTCACTGATCTTCATCAACATGAGACAGCAAACTTGAAACAAGAGCTAGCCAGCATAGAGGAGAAAGTGGCATATCAGGCATATGAGCGATCACGAGATGTTCAGGTACTTTTAAAATTTTTGGTATCATAAACTTCTAACATATTGTAGAAGTCTTGTACTGTAAAATACTCGTGTCTTTCTATATCTCTGTATGTAAGAAATCTGGGAAAATATTTAAGCCCATGTTTTGTGTTTTTTAAGGTGAAAACGCAGCATATTTAAATCTGTGACAGTCTCCATTTGTTTTAGTGGATTCAGAATTTTACCTGCTGGAATTGATGATATAGCCTAAGCGGACTTGTGGCCTGGTTTAATTTCTTGCACTAGAGGAGGAAGGAATGGAGTCTCCCTGTGTTGTGTAAAATGCTACTTTTGACCATGTCCTAACACAAATCTACTGCTCAGATTTTCTCCAATATGTAGCCATATCTCTGGCAAGGTTTAGTATGAATTAAAGGAAAGGTAAAAACTAAGAGCTAATTGATAAATAAACTAGTAGATTTGCCAGTTATAATTTAGGAGTTTTATTTCATGGTCGCAATAGCCCCTGTAATCAAAGCTGTACGGTATGTTCGCCTCAGTATCAGTTTTAGTCATGTCTGGCTTCAATCAAAAGTCAGTAATAATGTCTACAAGTTTGTCCTGACAGCATGTAGTTACGTACTTGAATACTTGTATACACAATATAAGCATTTATATAACGCATATTTCTACCCAAAGTCTGAGTAAGTGGTGGAAAATGATGAAAACACTGTTTTGCCCTAGCTTGGGTTTAAATTCACTAACAACTGAGGAATGCTCAAAAACTGTCTTCATATTGACTCAGGTGATGGTAAAACAACCCAACTGTGTCCCGTACGTCCCTGCACTCACACGTCTGAACAGAGCGCGCAGGCAGCGGGACGACTGCAGTTTCCTGATGGGTGTGAGAGGCAGGAAAGGGATGGTGCTGGAGCTAAGCGTATCATAGGTGACTTTTTAGGTTTAAAGAGAGGTCTCTCGTGCAGGACTCCTTTCTGAGAAGGCATCTTGAGGATGTAAAAACTGAATGAGACCCGAGTTCTCCAACAGAAGGGGTGTGAAATGTTTGCTAACTCATTAGCAGAACCCTGGAGCAGTGTCAGAGACTTTTAAAACTAATTGAAGCGCTATGTTGATACAGCCGTATTTCTTTCATCTCTGTACAGTTGGTCTTGTTTAAACTCGTCTCTTTGGGGGTTTGGCAAATTGGCTGAAATAGAGTAAAAGCATTTAAATTGTGGATATTTTAAGTAACAACCTAACTTGGGAGCACTCTGTCCCTAAGGGATGGGCAGATCGTTTTTAAAACGTTTGCTCAGCCTCTCAATACAGAACTGCAGGTATCAGGCTTTTGCAGCTGGACTTTCTCTAAAGCAGCGCGAGGTGAATTGAGAATAACTTAACAGTCAGAGTGGAAGAAGGACCAGGAAAGTTCTTTAGTGTAGTGGAACGTATGCATGAACCCTCATGGACTTTGTGCCACCCATTAGGAACTGTCCTCTGTATTATTACTAATTCCTAGAACAGTGAAAGGAAGAAGTGTTTTGTAAGGTGCCGTGTCACATGCTTTGCACTGACTTTGGTGCCTGGCTAGTCCCTTGTAAGCTAGTTCCAACAAAAGAAAGCTAATAACTGTGTGTGCAGTGGTTTTGTTTGGTGTGGGGGTTTTATGTTTTGGGGGGTTTTTGTTTGGTTTGGTGGTTTGTTTGGTTTTTTTTCTTTTTTTTTTTTACATGGAGGACTGGGTTGAATCAGCTTACAGTGTGATCAGGTGAATGCCCCTGCCAGTGGAAGGAAAATGTTTGAAGTCAGGGAGTGGGGAAGGAAGTAGTGATGCCGGAACGTAATTTTTCCCTTTTACACAGTGGTAAAAGGTTATGTCAAGTTGATGGGTCTCACTAAATTACAGCCTTACAAGGTGTTACGTAGCGGTGCCCAAATCCCAGCTCCAGCAAAAAGTGGCATTTTGTGGCAAGTTAAGTGAAGCAGTTAGAAATATTTCCATGTTTCACTTCAAGAGGGCTTAACTGTGGACTTAGGAACCATTTTATTCAAAAAACATTTTTAGTCCACCCTCAAGCAGAAGAGCAAGGTCTGCTTTCTTAAGAACAAAATGTTTAGCAGAATATATCACGTGAGAGAAAGAATCCTGTAAAAGCATTGCCACAGATTTCTCCACTGTCTCTGCTGCCCGTTTGGGGTGTGGATTAATGAGCCTTCATGCTGACGGAGGAAGAAGGCAATCTCTTACTGTGGACTCAAGCCCAGCACTGTACGGTCAGTGGCTTTGAGAGGAAAAGTAATGTCGACCAGAGATGTGGTGTAAACCAAATGCTACGTGTTTCAGAGTAGATTTAATCAGTATCACAGCAAGCCTGTACTACCCTAATGTTTTCTATAGCATATACAAAGAAGCTAACTTTGATGCTGGTTTAATTCAGTGAAGGTTGCCATGGCAACAGCTTTCACAGTATTTTATCTCATCAGTATATGCAGGAAACAATATCTGTCATGAACACTAAAGTTATGATACTTTTTCTCAAGCATGAAAAATGTAAAAACTACCTTTCAGACAGTGTTGTCAGACTTGATTATGCCTGAGCAGGCAGCGATACACACATGCAGATACATACATGCATTTGTTTTTTAAGAAGTTGGTGGTTCATTCAAATTTTAGGAGTCTATAATAAATTACACTTCTAATCTAGCTGATGGATGGTTCTGCAGCTAAAACAGGAAAAGTGGTGTATGGAAATACAGCTGCCCTAATTCTTGTTTTCTGTCTTCAGGAAGCCTTGGAGTCATGCCAGACCCGCGTTTCAAAGCTGGAACTCCATCAGCAAGAACAGCAAGCACAGCAGTCCGAAACAGTTAATGCCAAAGTGCTCCTGGGGAAATGTATAAATGTTATCCTGGCCTTCATGACTGTCATCCTAGTGTGCGTTTCTACTATTGCAAAGTTCATCGCTCCTATGATGAAGAGCCGTTTTCATATCATCTGCACTTTTTTCGCAGTGACGCTGCTGGCAATATTTTGTAAAAACTGGGATCATATCGTTTGTGCCATAGAAAGGATGATTATACCAAGATGAAGCTGCTGGTCTGGCTGCTTTCTTTTTGTTTTGTTTTGGTTTGGGTTTTTTTTCCTTCCTTTCTTTTCTTTTTTCTTTCTACCCTTGTTTTTTAAGTGCTGTGTGTACACAAATTATTTTTTTGTCAGTTTAAATGTGCTGGCTGGATGGAGAAGGCTACAAAGACTCTTGGACTTTAAGGTGTAAATACCTAAATGCAGTCACTTGCCTGTTCAATCCGATTGTGTCTAGTTGGCTATGTCTCTGAACTGCTCGCTTCTCTCAGTCTTCTGCCTTAATCCAACGGGTTTTCCACTTTACAAACCCGCACCCACGAAAGATGGTGTGGTGCTCTGGGAGGCATCCAAGCAACTGCAAGTGTCAGGTGTGCTTTGTACCAGACTGGAGTGCAAAGAGTATGATCAGGAGGGAGCACACCATAATGTGTATCAGCCCTGTTAGACTAATAAGTTAATTTCCTCTCTGAATCCAGCTAGAATGATAAGCCAAATTATGCAGTCATATGTGTTACTAGTTCTTTATTCTAAACTAAGGGGTATCTGTAAATGGGGTTTCTTGTTTTCAGGACTAGCAAAACTTGATGCTTCTACTAGTAACCTTTTTGCACCGAGAGTTTATTGTTTGTAAATAGGCCAGTGATGATACTGACAACAGTTAGCGGGTGTTCTATCCTGGCACTGTTACCACATTTGGGAAACAGAAACATGGCATAAGACTTCCAAAGATGATCCAAATTGAATGACAAGATATCTAGACCACTTTGTGAAGGAGTAAAGCAGTATGTAACTAACTGGTGGGTAAGTTGTCATGCAGACCAAAGCTTGTTTCAAGCCCTGCAATCTGCAAGGGGAAAGAAGTATGCAGAAATGAAACACTTAAGTTAGCCTTCGTTAGCACGGAATTGTTGGGGTGCTCTAACTGAATGCAGAGCAGATAGGTAGTGGGACTCTGGGTACAGTGGATTTATTTTTTTGTGTCAGATTAAGGAATGTGGAAGAAGCATGAGGGAATAGCTTCTTAGGGGCGCAGGGAGTTAAAACTTCTGTAAATATACAAACACTGTGCAGACTCCCTTGACAAACATTCCTGAAAATAATGTATTAGTGTACAGTACCATTACTAGGAAACAGGGTTAGTTTTGCCTTCTTACTGGAATTTATTTTGCTTGATTTAAGAATGGTAAAAAAAATTTTCCTGAAATCTGCTTGGCTCTTAGCCATGGTATAAAACAAGAACTTTAATAAAACAAAACAACAACAAAGCACCAGAATCAGAATTCTTCTCCACTCCATTAATGAAAAAATACAATGTTTCCAGTTAGTTGATGTTCAGTATTACTCACTTTGAAAATAATTGTCAAGACAGAGTTTCTTTTCAGTTGCAGTATTTGTTATGCTTGTTTTAGGTGGGGGGTGGGGATTAATCAGTGTGTGTATTTGTTTTTAATCAAGTGCAATAGTTGGTGTAGAAATTCAGAAGACATTATGGAGAGGGGAGGCAGGGGACAAACTTTGACATTTTACCATGATAACAGTGAATACAGTTACTTTTTGTGGCTTCAGGGACTGAAGGAAGGACAGAATTAACTGCATAAATAATGATATGACTCAGCATTTAGAAAATTCAATTAAAACACTTTAAAAATCATTGAAGGATTATTTATATGTGCTATGTCTTTGAACAGAGAAATTGTGAAGGGTTGTGCTGGCTCACGGGCACGGGAAATGGGTCACACCGGGCACACCCATGTTATCCTGACCCAGCCCTGCCTCATCTTCAGAGGAAGGTGGAGTGAAAAGCAAAAGCCCTGCTGAGGGAAATGCCTTTATAAAGCCCAAACTCACCAATTAGTTTATCCCTGGCTGTGCCAGGAAGAATTATTACACAGACACATTCTTCTTTTCCTTTATGTTTTGTTTTGTTTTTTTTTCTTTGCCTTTACCCCTGTATTCCTGGTATGCCCTGAGGAAGGAAAGAGGTATTGTCATGTATAAAACTTTTCTGTCTTAAATGCTGCATTAAGGGGAGACCTTTCTTCTCATTGTCTCTTAATCTGTTTTGGCACGGTATGTGTGCATTGCAACAGGCCTTCACCTCCAACTTCCAAGTATCTGTACTTAGCCTCCTTTTACAGCCAGCTAATAAACGAAGGCAATTCCTTCCACCAATGCAGCTCATAAACTTAACTGCACAGGAAAGTCCCTTCCACAATGTTAAAAAGGTTAAAAGTAAAAAAGAAGTAGCTCTTTCCTGGCCTTTACATCACAAGAAAGGGTTTCCTTTGGTTTGTTTTTATGACCTTTTGATGTGTCCTTAGATCCTCCTGGTGTTTTCCACTGTTTTCATATAATTTGTTCCTATCTTCATTTTTGAAAAGGCATATAATGTCTTTTTATAGTCTGTACTTTCCATTTCTTTAGCCAATGCGTGTGCTTCTATTCAGTGTGCTTTCTGAAGTTTTTTTCCTAAATTCTACCATCCATTTTTACTGATCAGCCCTACAACTTTTTTTTTTTTTTGCCTCATTTCTGTAGGCCACAAGATTATACATCTGTTACAGAAAAACAACAGTCCTGGTACTGATCTTCAAAAAGCTGTGACTCTTCATGATTGTGTTCTTGCCATCTTTAGTATAATCTCCATTCTTCTATTCAGTTTGCACAGCCACCTTCTGGTTTGTCCACTTGAAAAAACAGTTTGTTTAACACTTTGTTAAATGGGTTCAGAAAGGTACATGTGCAAGAAAGGAATACCATGTGTTAGTAATTTTTAGGTAAGAAAAACTCCTTTGCCTGTCTCATGGTTATATGTTTAAAGAGATAATCCTCGCAGTGCTAGTGTGCGTAGTTAAAAATGTAATGTCAGGTAGTCTCACGGTCAGGCAGGAAAAATATTAGTCATTTGATTTATAACAAGGGAAGTTGGTATGGTACAACCTGGGGATGTGAAGGCTTCTGCTCCAAGGTCATCCTATTATAATCCTGGAAGATGACCTCTGTGCAAAATGAGGGTAGAACATAAAATCAATGGGCCTGTGAAAGATTGCTCGCTGTCTTGATAAAATCTGGCTGCGTCCAAATTGGAAACAGAAGGGTCTTGTGTTTCCATGTTGGCTGTATATCTGGCAGAGGACACAGAAAAAGCTGTAAAGGCTGCATAATGCTGCTCATGCAATTGAAAACAGCCCTAATTGGTAAATGGGCACAGCACTTCTCTAGGTTATTTTCCCTGCTGGATTTAAATCACTGGAGGATGTGACATGCATCAAGAAATTGAAAAATATGTGAAGGGCAAAAGCCTGCTTTTGGGTAAAACTGCTGTAGTTTTGCACAGAATAAGGCTGCAGTGCCAGGAGCTCTGCCAAGGGGAAGGCCACCCAAAGTGGGGGAGGGAGGTCTCCCCTCCTGCCTTCACCCTCCCAGTTCTTACCTTGTGCTGACACTAGTGTGTGTTGCGGTCTTCCACGTGCCATGTTAGCTCACTAGGCTGGAAGGAAACCCTAGCAAGAGAGGTGGATACTTCTCCACAGCTAGAGACTTAACGGGCTGATGGAAAGGTCTTGTGAGTGCAGAGCAGGGACAAAAAGGGCCTTTTTCTTTCTTGCTGCGGTGAATCGCTAGCTGCCCCTCAAACGCCATTCTAGGCAGCATCCCTGCAGAATGATGGGGCAGCTTCAGCGTAGGAAGGTCCTTCCTAGCTTTTGCCTGCGATGGACAGGTACAAACAGCACCGGGATGTGGTGGCACAGGAGAGCCAGTTGTGTCTATACCCAGGATCGAGAGTAGGCTGGTGGCCAGGCCACTACCTTCTGTGTCAGCATCACTTCCACCGCTTGGGCTGGGCTGGGCTTGTACGCACGTACGTACCTGGCCTGCAGTCAGAGCTCTGCGGGCTGTGAAAGCGTGCGTAGGCCATGCCAGACAGTTGCAAGACCTCTCTTAAGGAGAACTTTGTTCAACTTCTCAACCAATTAACCATGTTCTGTCAGGAGACTCTTTGCTTTTATGTTTTTATACAGCACATTAGACATTCTTAGTGTACTCCTTACACTTACTCATCGTGAGCCTCTAAAACACTCCCACTCAACAAGAAGTTGCCAGACAGTGCCTTTTCTGCTTGCTGCTGCCTGGTAGTCAATTATTTCACTTCACTTTGACAGTAGTTCTCCAACTGGAAAGCCCTTTGGTCGTTAGTACCTGCTCTAAAGGCTTTGGGCAGGTTTTTTGCTCCGAGGTTTCTGGAGAAGTAGTTTCTCATGAAGGTCAGCACAATTTTCCTGATCTCTCTCCCATTTCAGAATTCAGGTCTAAATTAGATTTCCTCTAAAACTTTTAAAATGGGTCCCTCTACCAGCTTCACCTATAACTCCGCTATTGTCAAACATCCAATTAGTCATTGACAGCAATGAATGGGACCCGGTTAAAATTCCTTCCCCTTTCTGCTTTACGTTATACACGTTTGTGCAACTTCTCATTTTACTGTGCTTCTGTGATGTCTGTTTGTTCGGAATTCTTAGTGAAGCACTATCAAGTCTGACTGCTTTTTAGTTTAACAGCAAAATGCTTGTGTTATGCAGTGCTTCTGCTGCAGGACCATCGCATGTAGAGCCAATGTCTGTGCTATCTGTAGGATATTTAAAAGCCAGTGGTTTTCTCTGAACAAATCATGAGTGCTTATCTGGGGAATAGAAATTCAATAGGTGAAGGTGATTTGCTGCAGTCAGGATACTGAATCCACAGACTAGAAGTTGAAGCTAGACAAATCCAGTGTAAGCATAAGCTTCAGTTTTGTAATCGTAAGGGTTACAAGCTAAGTTTTAGCTACTGAATAACATAAGCAGGGACTCCAACATTTGAAGTTAAAGTTGAATGCTGCTGTTCAAAGAGGAATCAGTTCAGGCCTATGTTTGATACAAAGTCAACTGTATAATCATGGGTAGTGCTTTCTGGAGTAAAAATTAATGAACAAGAAATTATTTGGTGAAAAAAAAAAAAAAAACAAACAAAAAACCCAACAAAAACAACCTTATAGAAGCTTGTGGTTCATTTCAGTAGTATGGAAACCAGTTCTGGAAACCAAGACCCTTTCCACTGTGATAGATACATTTTATTCTGAATTCAGTGGCACAACAGAAGGTGAACACAGATTAATGTAATTAAACATTTCAATTTGGATAACAGAATTTAATCACTTCCAGAAGTCCATCTAGGAATAGCAATCAGGCAAGTTTACTGTCCTCTTTTTTAATCAAGCAAATATTTATCTGCTTTTTTCATTTACCATCATGCCCAAATGTGGCCTTTAATTAATGACATTGCTCCTCTTTAAAATGCAAGAGATTATAAAAGGCTTGTTCTCAGATGAAGTTTGAATGGTCTCTCTGATGCTGAGTATAATCCAGCAGAAATAATTGATAATTTTATATTACAGCAATGAAAGACTAAGAAAAGTTTGATTTTAGTTAATGGAATTGCTTATTTTCCCTGAAAAAGCAAACTGAGTGAACTGAGATAATGCTGTATATAAGGACTGCATGAGGACTAGTCAAACTGTCTTGTACGGTTGATTTGCTGTAAGTTTAGCATATTAAGTTGTACTGTTGTTGGAAGGTTTTGCACAAAGCCACCTTTCCTTTTTACCCAGGCAACCTGGGTCTGGTAGTATGGAGGTGTACCAAAAATCGTCTGGTTTTATAGACTAAAGTTAATTGTCTCAGTGTGTGATCTACAGTGTTTCTCATAACATTTTTTTGTGCAGCACTGTGGAAAGATGCAACTACAAAAATGTAATTTTTGTATATTTTGTTGTGTAATCATGACAGCCTCTAAGGTGCCATTAACATTTTTAAAAATAAAAATATTTACATTTATTTGATGACAAACACTGTTTCTTAAACTTACTGCCTAATCACTCAAACCCCTGTCAGTTTTTGTCAGTAACAAGGTTATTCAATTGAGCATAAGCCCCAGCTTTAAAATACTGATGAAAGTGAGCATTCTGCTCTCCTGCAGTTTTGACCAAAACAGGTAATCTGAGTTTTATTTACAGCTATGACGTGGCAAAACTGCAAACATCCAATGAGGTATCATCACTGCTCTTCTCCAGAGCTTGTGTGAACACGCTATGCAAACGTGATGCTATTGTGCCAAGCAGTTGGATTCGCTTTGGATTATTTTTTTTTGAAAACTGAATTAGAAACCTAAGCTGAATTTTTACATTAATTGTCAGAAATCTTGGGTCACATGTGCCAAAAATGTAATACTGACATGC